TTTTTTCATATATGTGCCCATAAGCATAAGCATACTACGTAGTAATTTTTGAGAAAACAATTAAGCAAACAGCATATTTCTTGTTTCAATTTAGGGTGTACCAGTAAATTTATCTATCTAGCTTTTTCAAAACAATGAACCCAAACAAATGTCACCTCAAAATATGCTCCGCCCACTCGTCTATTTGTTTTAGGCTAATATATCTTTTTCTCAAAAAACGCTTAAAGATCTTATATTTTGCGGGTTTTGGGTTTTTTCGATATTGTTCCAAATGAAGAGAAATATGTTGTTAAAGTTAACTTTTTACTTGTAAAGATAGTTATACCCCTAGACCCAAGGTTTTAAATAGTAGCTAACATGTCGGTTTGGAGGCTCCAACGCCACGATACCATGCTTCCAATGTCGCGTGCCGTTTTGAGGGAAATTTCGAGACATGACGGGGCATGTCGGACATATTGGCCGATATCTCAGCCTCTAGATATCAACAAATATGCTGATTTTCAAGACCTTGCTCTTTGGGCTTAGCTTTAAAATCCAAAACCTAAACCTGATTATCCAATTGTTACATTCCCAATTAAAGAACCATATAGCCAAGTTTAAGGCAAAATTATGCCCTAAAAATAAACTACTATACTCCTCATTCGCTTTCTCTCTAAGGCAAAGTCGACTGAGTGATCGCTGCCAAATATCAACATCGGATTGAGGTTATGACGATAAAGGGTTTTAAGGCCTCCCTCCATAGTTCTCTCTCTGTATTCTCTCTCATTTATTCCCTCTTGCTCACTTTCTCTTGCAATCAAGAAGCAAATTTCCAGAATCGGTTACTGATCCTAAACATCATTTTGTATGCTTAGACTATGTATTTTATTAAATATGTTTAGATTGCATTTAGGACATTGTATTTTATATGCACACCATCCGATATTATGACAATCTAATATTTATTGTATATCTCCCATATTTCCCTAAATTCCGCAATCCGACTTGGATTTTAGTCGTCTGACATATCCCCGACATCTGACATTCAAAATATTGCCCAGAACCAATACCAAACCCACTTAAACCTAATATAATTACCCGACCCGTTTCACTTTTTATTCTCCAATGGTCCATTATGGTGAACAACATCAACTCTGCGAAGGCGACAACAGAGTCATCACCTGATCCTTAAAGGGTAAATGACCGCTTAGTAAGCAAATGAATTGGCCTCAAGAACAAACTCATTATCAACCTCAAACTCATCAAAAATTGTGGGCACATCATCTCCCCAAGTAATCAAATATAAGCAGATAAGTATTATTGGCATTTGTGAAGTAAGTCTCCCCTACAGTTTTGATTCGGTAAGTTGTGTTGTGATGGTAATGGAAGTTGTTATAACAAGAGCAAGGACTTGGAAGGAGATGAGATTGTTTATAAGGAGGTTAGAGGAGCTAGGGAGAGAGGGAGATTGGAAGGGACAATAGAAGACGGAGTTGTTGGAGTAGCCAAGGACAGTGGTTGGGTTGA